CGTCTCCAAGAGCAAATGCCAGGGCAGTGCCCCACACAGACCATGGCTATGAACTTGCCTCTTTTGACCAGGATACAAAGGGGCCAGCACTTACACGAGGCTCCCCGGCCAAGCCTTCCCAACCTCAGAAGAGGAGGAGGAGGTGGAGATGAAGCCAAGACCCAGCTCACCCTCCTCTGCTCACCCACAGACGTGTATGAGCACCCACTAAGTGCCAGCACTGGGCTGGGCACTGGGGGTCGACGATGACCAACAGAGACACAGGGCCTGCCCTCAACATCGAAAGGGTCTCCCAGACCACTGCTCACGCCCTCCTACCTCTGTGTCCTGCCCATGTCTCCAGGGTCAGCCAAATGGGCTAAAAGAGGGACCGTTGGTCTATAAGTGCAGCTGACTGACGCCATGTTGCCAGCTATCAAATACAGGGAACGCTCTAATCAGTGGTTCTCAGCAACGTTTGGTCTGGGCCCCCAGGGATCCCCAAGACCTCCCTGAGGGATTCATGAAGTCAAACTGGTCTCATAATAATACTGCGACATTATTTGTCTTTTTCCCTCCCAGTCTTTCATGTGGTTTCCCAGAGGCTACATGACAGATGTCACAGATAGACCTGCTGCCTCTGGGCCAATCAAGCTTGGACCTATGGAAACCGGAACTAATCAATGGAGTGAGAGCCTATCAAGCCACCAGCACAGAGACCAGCCCCGGGAGGAGCTCCACGCAGTGAGCCTCTGCCTCCCCCAGCTTCCTGCTCCTCTCCCTCACACCTGCTACACCCCTGTGAGTATACCTGCGTCCGTGCTCACCTGCGGGTGGCTGCTGGGATTTTCACAGGCTCTTCCAGGACCCCATGATGCTGTCCCCAGAGCACGCATCGCAGCATCTGGGTACACAGTATATGGTGGCAAATTTGACAAGTGCCTTTTTGACTAAGTCACTAGGACCCATCTCCCAGCCCTTTCACCTCTACCTGCCCTCTTAGCACCCACAGTACAGGAAGCCAGTGTGGGGACACTCCCCACTTCCCAACAGAGGCCTGAGCCCTGAAATACCCTGGAATGTACCAGAACTAAGCATAAGGCATCCTGTCTTTTGCCCACTGACTCTGGTTGGGAGTCACGGGCTGAGGTTCATCTAACTTGAAACAGATCCTTGATTCAGAGACTCTGTGATTCCAATTCGGACCCTGGAGCTGGGCCTGGATCCTTTCCCCATAAATGTCCGTGTGCCAGGTACAGAGAGGCTGGCCCAGCCTAGGATAAGGCCAGAAGCCTTGCCCCTGGCCTCCTGGGAGCTCCAGAGGTCGGGATGTTGCAGACACTGTGCCCCGGTCCCTATCAAATAAGTGAGGCCTTCCCTCTAGGGAGCATTTGAGGAGCCTCTGAGGGCCAGTGACTGGCACCAAGTGAAATCTGAGCGTTGGCATCATAAACCCTATACCTGGAGCAGGTACGCAAGCTCCCGGGATCTGCTTGCCCTGTAATGAACTGATCTCAGAATTTCTCTGGATTTTTCGGCATGAGAGGAAATGGCCAAGTAACAGCTTCCCCACCATTCCCTCCTCTCTGCCCATTCCAGGAGCTTCCCCAAAAGGGACAGGAGAGAGGGAGTGAAGATAAACATGCTTCCTCACTTTCCCACTGCAAGGCACACCGCAGGTGAGACAAAGAGGTACCACAATAAGTGCTGAGCCGATGGGTGGTGGCTGCCCAGAGCACCGGCTTGAGAATTCTGATACCACCCATGCTGCAGTTGATTGGTGATGTCTGCCATGGTCACAGATGTCCACCATCCCTGATCTACAATCCAGGTGCCTTTTCCTGATTGGGGGACCATTCCCCAGCCAGGACTTTGGTAGCAGAGGGGGCCCTGGCCACACAGTAGAAACAACCCACCAGACTCCTTGCTAGGTTTCTCAGGACCTGAAGAAGCACGTATTGGCCCATCACTCTCCACTTTGCCAGGACAATGTCCGCTCCCTTTTCTGAAGATGTTAATGCCAGTTGTATTAGGAAACACTTGTCTAGAATAGAAATGCATTACAGGGTTAATTTCTCCTCTGTAACAATGACTAAATGCTTTCTTTCTCACCTGGGACCCAAGGGACGGTCTGGCTGTCACCAGCAGTAACCTCAGACCCATAAAAAGCTCTACCAGTGGGAGGGCAGACAGGCCGAGGCGCTGTGCTCTGGGCTAAAGTTCGCAGAAACACTTCCCATGATGCTCTGCTCCAACAGCCCAAATGTCCGTGCAGTCTGGGCCACCTCATTTGGACACCTTGGCCTGCAGGGTGCTGGGCAGATAGAGGTACCTCCAGATGGCATAGTAGTGGGTACCAGCACCAAATGCCACAAAGAGATGCCAGATGGCGTGGGCAAAGGGGATCCTCCCGTCACTCTTGAAGAACACCGTGCCCAAGCAGTAGAAGGCCCCGCCGGTCACCAGCTCCCAGATGCCCTCGGTGTTGGGCTGTCAGCAAGGACAAGGGTGGGGCACAGGTCAGAGGAGTGGCCAGTAAAGTCATGAGCACCCGGCCACTCCCCCACCACCCCAAACGAAAAGACCCGTGGATGGTGAGCCAGCCCAAACTCCCAGGTGGGGCGTCTCATCACCCTGATGCTGCCAATTCTCCCCAAATTAATTCTCAAATGTAACGCGTTTCTATCAAAATCTCCAAGAATGTTTTATAGCTTTTTGTCTTTCCTGAAAAGCAATCCATCTGGGTCTATACCCAAAAGAAGTGAAAGCAGGGACTCGGACAAGTACTGGCCCACCCAGGTTTGCAGCAGTGCTATTCACAACAGCCACCCAAGCATCCATCGATGGATGAACGAATGGATAAACAAAATGTTACTCATGTTATTTCATACGATGGAATATTATTCAGCCTTACAAAGGAAGGAAGCTCTGACACCTGCTATTACATGGATGGACTGAGGACATTATGCTCAGTGAAATAAGCCAGTCACAAAAGGACAAATGCTGGGTGATTCCACTTCTATGAGGAACCTAGAGGAGTCAAATTCATAGAGATAGAAAGTAGAATAGAAATTACCAAGGGCTGGGAAGGCAGATGGGGAGTTAGTGTTTAATGGGTACAGAGTTTCAATTTGGGAAGATGCGAAAGTTCTGGAGATGGACGGTGGTGACGGTTGCACAACAATGTGAATGTATTTAACGCCACTGATTGGACACTTAAAAACGCTTAAAATCATAAATTTAGGTACATTTTGTCACAATTTTTGAAAAGTCATACATGCCCATGACAAAAATGATCTTAGAGAAATACATAAAAACTAGTGAGAAAAAAGTAGTGGTCCTGGCCCTCAGAGATGAGGGCCCCTTGAGCTGTTGTTTATTAAAGGGACTCAAGTAGAATGAGAGGGATTGAGGAGTGAGAAGAACCTGCTGTGCCATCACCCCATCTGTGGCTCCCGTCTCTGGGAACCACCATTAACAGTGTCTTACAGTATCCTTCCAGAAGTGGCCTCTACACGTACGACATACAACAAGCATACGTGCACTGGAACTGACACTGGAGACCAGCGGGCTCACACCGTGCCCCACCCCCTGCAACATCATCTTCCACTAGCTCGTCTGACGGAGCTCAGTGTACCGTCCCACCAGGAGATCCACCTCGATCTTTTGAACAGCTGCAAGGTATTTCATTGTCTTCACCAGTCCTCAGGAGTATTATGGGTGGATATTAATTACATAATAACAAAACAAAGAATACTGAGCACTCCTTAGTACTTCCTATGTGCCAGGCACCGTATTAAGGTCTTACAGGAATCACCTAATGCCGTCTTCATGGCAACCTGAGGAGGCAGGTATTGCTCTAAGTGACAGTCACGGAAACACGCCCACACATCGTGCAAAGTGAGGCAAGCATGTTGCAGAACGGGACGTATAGTGTGATCTCATTTTTGTAAAAGAAAAACCAACAAGTCAATATGTCTACATATCCACATAGACTTGCATATAAGAAATGGAAAAGACACATGACAAACGATTAGTGGTGGTTGCAGCCGGGGTATTGTATTGGGGTGAAGGAAACTGCTGCTCTTTTATACATTTTTGGACGGGACTTATTTTTTTGCATTGAGTAGTATTTAATTATAAATTTACTCTAATATAGGTACACATATATATTTAAATATATAATATGTAATTTGGTGGATAGTATATATTTAATAGGTATAACTTAAACATATACATTTAAATAAAAATAAAGTTGGGAAGGAAGGTAAACTGTAAAAATGAATACAGATCATGGAGAAAATGTTGAGCAGGAAAAACTAATGGGACAAGACTTCATTTCCAAGTATTAAAATTCAATTAACACTATAATAAAGTAAAACAGTTTGGTACCAGTATAAAAACAGACCAATCGATGAAAAAATTGAAATCTCAGAAACAGACCCACATCTATGTATATAAATTAATTTAACATATGCTAAAAGGTGCATTTGTAAATGGCAGAAAAATGAAATAACTGGCTAATCATTTGGGGAGGAATCACCATATACAAGAGAAACTGCAGTAGGAATAAAGAGTTAAAAATGAGAAGTTAAACCATAAAAGAAACAGGAGAAAATACAGGTGAGTACATAAACTTGGGAAAGGGACGATCTTTCTAACCATAACTCTTAAGTTAAAAGCCATAAAATAAAAATAAAAACCTGTTAGATTTGAATACATAAAATGTTAACACCTCCCAATAATAATTTTAAAATAATACTGTTCTCCGGCCTAAGGAGGTAGTGGGCAGGCTGAGTTTACTGTGTCCATTTGACAGATGAGGCAACTGAGGCTCAGAGAAGACAGGCCCTCTGGGTGAACCTGCCTATTCTACTGCCTCTTTGGGCGAGTCATGCTGACACACTGGGCCTCAGTTTCCCCTTCTCCCAGAGGATACGGTTCGACTTGACAATCTCGAGGGTCAGTCTGGGTCCTCTCCAGCCAGAAATGAGGCCCCACGCCGGGTGGGTGGGACTTACCATAGAAAGGATGACCAGGGCGGGGAAAAAGCCCATCATGACGTAGCACAGCAGCTCCACAAGCTTGTACCTGGCAGGAAGACAAGCCACCTTGGCCTCAGCACAGCTCTTCGTTCTGGGCAGAAGACACCCTGACCGGAAGAGTGAGGGCACTCCTGGGCTCACATCTCACCCTGCTACGCCCAACCGGTACTGGCAGAGCTGGGTGACCGTGGGCAGGTCTCCTTCCCTCTCTGAGACTCGGTTTCCACACCCGTGAAATGACATTCGAGGGTTGCACATGCTGGATACAGCATGCATATGGGCACTGCCCATGCTCGATCCCAGGGCAGACATGACTATTCGATCCCAGCACCTTTGCCCCCAGGGCCCAAGCAGCCACTCTCCATGGATCTGAGTAGATGCATGAACTGACACCTATTGCTGAGTCTGTCATTCCCTTTTGCTTCTATAGCCCTGTTTCTTTCCCCTACTTAATTATTCCCATCCCCTCACTCAGCAGCCCAGTGGGCTCAGAGCCTCTCTCCCTTATCTGCTAACACAGCTTATGGAAGGCAGGTAACACGTGACAGTTCAGTAGGTCAAGGAACTCACAAGGTCTTTTTTAAAAACTCTTTAGACTGATCCTATGGACTGTGGGCCTGGTGGCCATCCATGGACCTCAAGACTGGGATGCCAGACGGAGCTGTGCCCTCATGCTTCTGGGTCATCCTGGGGTCACCAGGGGCAGGGAAGAGGCCCTGCTGGGGGACTGAGGGGTACGCCACCCACCTGAGTCCCCAGCCCTGGCTCACCGCTCATGGAAGAAGAAGACATAGACGGTGCCGACAGAGGCCATGATCCAGACCAGCCAACGCATGTGGGAGGCCCAGGGGCCCAGTTCCCGAAGGTTCAGCCTGAGAGAGAGAGCCGAGGGCACAGCCTGAGGGGGGCCCACTGGGACCACGCCCTCCATGGCTGTCCGTCACAGGAAACTGACCCCAGAAAAGCCCTGTCCCCTGTGGCTGCACAGGTGGGACACAGGCCTTCATGGGAAGACGCGTGGAGAGACAAAAAGAGAAACTGACACAACAGCAATTACTAGAGGAAAATTAGCAAAACCGATAATGCCCCAGTGTGAAGGGGAAGGGCACCTGAAACTAGTGGGAGTCTAACGAAGAAAGCCTGCCAGGAGAGTGGTCTGGCAGAGTCCATTACCCTTTGCAGGGCTCACATCTCGTGACCCAGCCATCCCAGTCCCAGGGTCCAGCCAGAGCAACACCATCTGTGCGTACACAGTCTATTCTTTCTACGGTACCAGAGCCTTGCAACCTTTAAACCATACAATGCCATTTCTTTAAGTCAAGATTTTATGCAGGAAGCTTCTATGTAAGTCCAATCTGTCAAAAATATAAACACAAACCAAAAAATGGGGCTTTTCTGATTGAGGCATGGATGGGGGAGCCCAGAGTCATCCACACCCACACCCCCTCCACGGTCCCCAGGACCCTCCAGGCTCTTCAGAAAACAGCTGAAAAACCAGAGCAATACAAAGAAAAATCAATCTATACCACTTGTCCTATGTCCCCTTCTCACCATGTACCCAGGCGTCCTACCAGGAAGCTGGTCAGCTCCAAGCTCCTCTGTCTGTCTGTCATCCCCACATCCAATCAACTCTGAGCTCCACTCATGCCTCCTCCTAAGGAACTCACACTCCAGGCCACGTCTCCCCCTCTCGGCATCATATCCCTCTTGTGGCCCTAACCACAACTGGGTGTCAGCATTGGGACAGTTAACAGCTGTGTTCCCTGTGAGACCTTCACGTCCTGTAAGGAGAGGACCCTGCCTATGTTTACGGCTGTATCCTCAGACACCAGCAGGGGACGGCACAGAGCCACTGCTCCGTCACAGCCAGGGAGAAAGAATAGAAACCCAGGCTTCAAATCAGCGAAGGGGAAGAAACACAGAGGATTATCCTAGAACTCTGTCCAGATGATGGTTACTGCAGCTGACCACAGAACTTAGCTTGACTCTTTTTGTCAGCAGCAAAAAGAAACCTGAGATTACCTGTCTGCTGACCACGGAAGGTGCTGCCTACAGAGCCTGGGGCCAACAAGAGGGGTGGTGGTGTGGGCACCTCCTGTGGCTTCCGGCTCCTCTCCTGCTCTTGGCACACTCCCGTGGCCTCCCATCTACCCACTCAAGCTGCACCCTTCACCCAGGACCTATGTTTATTCTAGAAGTCTCCGTATGCCCGTCTACCTGGCCTCTGAAACCCTGAAGCATGTGGGTTTTCAGGAGAGCAGCAAATGCCATCCTCGCTCAACACCCAGGCTGGGCTCGGTCTCAGGACGCCCAGGCAGACAGCGCGAGGCGGCTTCCTGGCAGTCACGGATGGATTTCCGGGGGAAAGCCGGCATTTCCCGGGGACCCTGCCATTCCCCACTGTCCCTCTCCTTCACCTTCAGTCAGTCACAGTCCACCGGTTTCCTGTAAACACCTTTTCCATCCATCTATCCTCTCGACCTCCATGGCTGCCACTGGGTCCAGGCCACCACCATTTCTCACCGGGTCCTTGCACCAGCCTCCTCCACACCTCCCTGCTCGCAGGCAGTCACCCTTCAGTCCACAAAAAAACACCTGAATATCCTGCTCCAAGCCCCATCCACTCCTAAGTGTAGATCCAACAGCCCCCGACCTGTACAAGAATGCCCAGAGGCCCATGGGTCCATAATCACCTCACAACTAGAAACCATGCCGACACCTGTCACAGGAGCATGGAGCCTGAGGTACCTTCCCCCAGAACGCCGTCCAGAAAGGAGAATGGATGGACAGCTCCTGCAACACGACTCCGTGATCCTCACCAGACATAACATTTCATGAAAGAAGCAAGATCCAAAAGAACAATGCCATTACTACGAAGTTCAATGTCAGGAAAACCGTAATGTGAAGACAGACATCAGGACTGTGGTTACACCTGGGGGATGGTGGCTAGAGAGGAGGGGCGTGGGGGATGGGGGCTACTCTGTTCCTCCACCTGGGTGCTGGTTGCAGGGTGTGAAAAGTCACTGAGATGTACGCTTATGACTGCATATTCTCCAGGGATGGTATACCTCCATAAAATGTGTTTTAAAAGCAATTGCCTTCGTGGGTACAAATGAAACTCATTTATTAGCTGATACAGTGAAAGGAAGGCCCCACTTAAGATAGCCAAAAAACGCAATTCCCTTGGCAAAAATGGAACAACAAATGTTTCTGTGGCTCCCCACTCCTCAGAGGCCAACGTGCAGATTCTCAGAGCGGCACACCTCCTCCAGGCAGCCCTCCTGAGGCCCCCACGCCCGGGCAGTGCCTCCTCTGATCTCCCGCGGCTGAGTACACACAGGCCCATCTCACCGTGCCATCACTGCCCTGTCATAGAGCCTCGTCCACCAACAGAAGCTCAGTGTCCTGACCCCCAGCACCGCCCGGCCATGGAGTGAGTACACAATCAACAAATGTGAGTGGAATGGTCCTTCTCCCCTCACAGGAGCTGTGCAGGCTCCCAAAGCTTAGTCCTTCCTTATTCCAGAACTTTCGAAAACCCTGAGTGACTTGCTGGGGGAGGTTAAATTGGTACAGTCTGTGGAGAGTGACTTGGCAACAGCCAAATTATGAAGGCCCACTCCCTGCCATCCAGAAGCCTAATTAATCTTGGAATTAATCCCAAAAAGGTCAGGCTCAGCCATCTGAGGCTGCTGTTTTTGGTCAAAAAAGGCTGCCTCTTAGCCATTTCATCAACAGATCCACATGCATGGCCAAATGACACATAAACGCATATTCACTGCGGTGTTATTTATGATAGCAAAGGAATGGAGTGTCTCAGTGTCATAAATATCCATAAATACGGGGTGGCCCAGGATATTATGCTGCTATGAAAACGAACAGGGAAATCGTCAATGGACTGACATGGAAAAGATGTCCCAGCTACATTGCTAAGAGAACAAAAGCAAATGGCAGAACACTTGGTATATAGTAACCATCCTGTTGTATTAAATGTAGGAGGAAAGCAGAGGTATAGACACTTACACAGGATAAGTCCACACGTATGTGCGTGCATGTATGCACATGCATAGATATTCGTAGATGTATACGTTCACACACACACATTTCCTCTTTCATGCATAAAATAACTCTGGGAGGACAAAAGCACTGGGTGCTAAGTGCTACTTGCTTCTAGGAAGGAGGAGGGTGGAGGATGTCTTTTTGTGCCGAGTCAGCGTATTACCCAGCCAAATCCAAAAAGCAATTCCAACAAAGAAAAGACGGGAAGCCAGCCTGGAGGCCGCTCGGATACTCACCAGGGCGCGTACGAGGCCGCTATGAAGAAGTAGATGACCATGCGATCGAACATGTGCAGACAGTGCTCCACCATCCTGGGGCAGAGGAGGCGGCGTTACAGCCCCACCGGCCCTGGGACACGCGCTTTCCCACAGCTGGGGAGGGCCTGGGGTGGGGCTGACCCGCCTCTATCCAGCCATGACCCCTCAGGCCTCAGTCTCCCCGTCTATAAATGACCAGGGCAGTGGTTTTCAAACCAGGCCCCCTATTGCCCTACAGGTTGAATGGAAACTCCTCGGGGGTCCCACTAAGGACCCTCCCCTCCTGTCCTCTGCATTTCTACTTTACACAGCGGGCTCTGCAGAAGATTTCAAGTGATGAAAGATTTCTGTGGCTACAAAAAAAAAAAGGTACAAAAACTTCAACTATGTGCCCCCTGAAGACCCTTTGAGTTCCAGGACTGTGGTTCAGGTCCAGGCTCTGGAACCAGAAGGCCTGAGTTCGAGTCTCAGCCCCCATCACTTAGCGACTATGACCCCGAACAAGTTCCTCTAGGCCTCCGTCCCCTCATCTGTAAAACGGGGAGGATATCGGCAAGTGTCACAGGGTCGCTGTGAGGATTGGGTTAGTACTCTGCAGGGCAGAAAGCGCTCGACAAACGTTAGCTGTTGGCCGAGCATCCCGCGGCCAACTCCGCGTCCGGCCTCATCGCTCGGCCCTGGTCCCCCCGCCCGGCACGCATCCCCCTCCACGGGCAACAGGTACCTGAGGTGGCTCTTCTTCCAGGAGATTGTGTGGAACACGGTGGACACCACGAAGAGCCCGCAGAGCCCAAGGCCGTAGATCCAGGCAGAAATGGTCTCCCAGTCATCGTCCGACAGGAAGTAGAGGTTGGAGCTGCCGAGGATGCTGGGAATGATCCAGAGCTGGACACAGGGACACAGGGAGGGGACAGGTGCTGCAGCGCCAGCCTCCGCCACGGCCCCTGGGCTTCCCCAGCAGACCGCCCTCCCTTTTCTCCAGACCCCCATGATCCAACAGAACGTCCCATCATGGTGGGACTGCCCTAACCTGTGCTGTCCCATTTGGGAGCCGCTAGGCACACGTCACTACTGAGCGCTTGAAATTTTAATTAGTTCTCATGTTAACTGATTTTAATTTCAATGTCAACAGCCACAAGAGGCCAGGGGCTACCATATTGGAGGATGCAATCCTAGAGGGTGTAGTGGTAAAACAGGAAGCCAGGACCCCCAGCTCTGGCCACCGCCCCCACCCGTCGTGTCCACTGATACCCCTGGCCAGGTGGGCCCCAGGCACACCGCTGAGCTGTGTCTGCATTGTCACACGTGTGGACCCCTCCGAAGAAATCACCCCTCCCACCATGTCCGCCCAGGAAACCCCTCAGTTTATCCACTGTTTCCTCTGAGAAGCCTGAGAACTCCCCACAGCAGAGGCATGCTCAGTGCCACAGTCCAATAGACCCCAGTGGCCCTCCCTCAGGACCCCACACGCTCTTCCGAGGGCCACGGAAGACTTGAAGAACAGGCCAGTGGGGTCACTGTGGGGGGATGGAGACACTGAAGCTCTCCAAG